AAAAAAATAATAAGTTAAGCAAATTGTGCAAAACAGCAATAAAAAAATAAAACTCCTATCAGATTTATAGTTCCCACCCTGCAGATATATTAGTCTGTCATTAAATTACAGCCAACCTCATTTACTCAGTAACAGCTTAGATAAACCAAACATTACCACCACATATCTGACTCAATAACCATTAAAACTATAGTTCACGGAACTATTCAAACTTATTTTTTATTACACTTAACTTCCAATATTCACCACTGTTAGGCACCAAGTACCTTTTCCTCTGATTACGGAGCAGCCAGCTTACTTGGTCTCGCATTTAATCCTGGCAAAACCAAGGATAGCGAGGATACATCGGAGCCGTCCTTCAAATTGGGCTAAAAGAAGCACGCATTTGTAGGCCTCATAACAAGGAACCTTGGAGCCCAAACAGACCTCGGTGCCTCACTATGACATAATTGGCCTTCGAATCTGGCCTTCGGAGGACACAGGCCATAAATACGAACAGAGCAACCATTCACACACATTCTCCTTAAGGTTGATTTATACTTCGAAACTAGGTCGTCTGGGTATAGGTCATGGTGAACGCAGAGACGTTCCTGCCCGCTCCGCAGACACTCTGCTGCCCCTCTCCCAAAGTGTAGGTGACCGCAGACAGGAGGCCTCTGATTGGTCAAATCAACATCCGCTCTACACTGTGCTTATTTCCTGTTTGCTACCTTATGGGCTTGTTTTATTTGTATGGCCAACATTATGGGAAGCGACTTGTGAAGTTGGACCAGCTAGAAGAGCGAGGTGTGCATGAATGCTGGGACCCTTTTTCCACCTGGATCCCTGCACTTTTTCGCCCTCATGTCCCTCAGTAGTTGGACAGTTCCTTGCCCCCACTTCCACGCCGCCTCGGCCGTATCTAGACCCACAGCTAGTTTGTAATTTTCCCCTTTTGCGTTGTGGCGTGGAATCACATAGCGCAGACTATGATTCAATACTGGACATAAATAAAAAATGTCTGCAGCATACCTGCAACAAGCTCACTGTGACACACTGCTGGAGTATAACCAGCCCTTTAGTAAGAGGAAGCCAGAGTACCTGAAGAGAACCCCACATGCCAGGGAGAACAGGCTGGGAATCGAACCCGGAACCTTCTTGCAAGGCTGCAGTGCTACCCACTGCTCAACTAAGCAGTCCTGAAATCAGACGTGCTTCTCATATTTTATTCATTTGTTTTTATGATTCTATAAGTTCAATGTCTAAGAAAATATGTTTTGCTTATTTAGTCATAAATTTAGTTCTGCTCGTCCCAAACTTCTTCTACTTAAGGCCACTGAGCTCTTAGGAACCTTGAGTGCTGCAGAAACTCTTTTGTTACCTTGGCCTGACCTGTGCCTTACTACTATTCAGTCTCTGAGCTCTTTGGACAGTTCCTTCCACCTCATGATTCTCGTTTGCTCTGACATGCACTGTGAGCTGTTAGGTCTTACATAGACAGGTGTGTGCCTTTCCTAATCAAGTCCAATCAGTTTAATTAAAGACAGCTGGACTCCAATGAAGGAGCACAAACATCTCAAGGAGGATCAGAAGAAATGGACAGCATGTGAGTTAAATATGAGTGTCACAGGGTCTGAATACTTATGACCATTTGATATTTCAGTTTGAGTAAATCTGTAAAAAAAATTATAAATTTTTGTATTTCTGTCAAGATGGGGTGCTGAGTGCTCATTAATCAGATATAAAAGGAACTGTTTTGATTTTAGCAAATGACTGTAATGAAACAAATGGTGAAAAATTTAAAGGGGTGTGAAAACTTTCCGTACCCGCTGTATCTGGCCATTAGTCCTCCTCTCCTCCCTCTGAGGAAGGGGAGCAATGAGGGGAGGAGGAGCTCCAGTTCTAGATGAGGTGTGTTGGACAGATGAGGATCCAGATGTTGCAGGATGGTTCTGAAAGACTGGGCCTGATAGAATTCCAGTTAGACACCTGATTCTTTTCTATTCAGTTTATTTCTATAGTGCCAATTCACAACATGTCATCTCAAGGCAATTTATAGAGACAATTCAACCAGATCATCCAGTCAGATTGATTCAAAGTTTTCTATCTAAGGAAAACCAGTTGATTGCGACTCATTGACTCTTCAGCAATCCCTCACACTAATCATGCTTGTAGCGACAGTGGAGAGGAAAACTCACTTTGAACAGGAAGAAACCTCCAGCAGAACCAGATGTGGATCTCCAGACCTCCACAGGTCTGATGTTGGGTGGGTTCTGTCCGTCATCCTCTCACGCTGATCTCTGTGTGTTTGCAGGTTCTGGCGGACGAGTTCCTGGAAGGATCTCTGTCTTTGGAGTCCTTCTTTGAGCGCTTCCTCCTCCTGCGCTCCCTCGCTCACAAGAGACGGGTGCAGATGGAGAAACTCCAAGAGATCCTGCGACAGAGGGACAAGAGCAATCCCACTGCCATGAGTTCATCAGCAGGCGTCGCCCCTAACCCCGCCGCCACGCCCTCCTCCTGGAACCTGCCCACCACGACGGCCACCGCCACGAATCCACAGCAGCCAAACTCCAACCCTCAGTCCTCCAGCTACCCGAACTCCTCTCAGACCGCCTCCTCGTCTGCGGTGGGAGCCCCTGGGCTTCCATACAGCCCGTATCCCGCCTCTCCTCCTAACCGTCCCCCTGTGGTGGCGGCGGCGGCGGCGGCGGCGGCAGGGCCGATCCCAAACACTCCTCCATCACAGTTCAGTCCGTACCCGGCTGCAGGCTACTCTGGGCCCAGACCTGCGTTCGGGCCTCCCTCCTCCGTCGCCTGCCCCTACCCGACCCAGCACCCGTTCCCAGCTCCACACCCTGGCTCAGCGTTTGGTCAGTACACCCCCAGCCACCCCCCCAGTGGCCCCGCCCCCTACCCGGCCTCCTACAGCTACGGCGGCTACAGCTACCCAGCCGGGCCGGCGTTTTCCTCTCCTCAGTCTCCACCAGGGAAGCCCATCTACAGGGCGGGGTACGGCGTTCCCCAGCCGTACTCCTGAAACCCCGCCCCCACTGCCACCCCATCCCCCCCGCCCTCCCTGAGGTTTTTTCTTTTCCTCTACGCTGCTTCCTCCACAATCCACTCCAGAGGTCTCTTGCTTTACTTGACTTTGTTGCACTATTTCATTAAATCAGTCTGAAGCATGCCCCCCCCACACTAGTCTCAGGTCGTTTCATTGCTTTGAGGTGTTGAGGCGCTCCTCTCCCTCACCGTCTCCCCCCTCATCCCCCCTGTTGAAGTGATGTTCTGTCGTAACACTAAGAACAATGTGATCGTCACGTCTGTCCGCTCCACCTGGATATTTCACTTCTGTCACCGAGGAAACTAAAGCAGGCGGAGGAGGAACCTGAAGCAAAGCGTCTCTGTTTTCCTTATTTTCTCCATTTCAATGCAGCTCGGAGTCGTTCTGCCGTCTGATTGGCTCCCCAGCAGCAGGCGAAGGCCTTCATGCAATAGCTGGTGTTCAGATGGAGCTTCGTTCTGTTGGTGGAAACCAAAGAAAACTTAGTTAACTTATTTTCCATCAGCTCTGAGCTACAATCCATCTTTACTTTGTTCTTTTTCTCCACTGAGGGAATCATTCTCTGTCATTGTTGTGTTTAAGTTAAGCCTTGTTTAAAGCAACCTAAGCTGACCACATTATGGTGACCTAGATAGAAGCTTCACTGGTCTGAGTTGGTTGGGTTCCTGTGGTCAGACATGGTTCCTGTTAATCTGCAAATGATCAGAACCTATAATCTGTGCATCACACCAACTCTACTGATTTATAGGCAACATCTAAAATCGACTGTGTGAGAAAATGAAATGTTTTAGATAAATACCGGGACATCCTGCCTTGGAAGCTCCTACCAGCTCCCGTCTGCAGCTGAAGGAGATGCTAGGATGTGGTTCTACGTAGCGCTGAGCTTCACCATTTATTCAGAAACGGGGACGTGTCTCTAAAACTTGGTGCTCTGATCTGTTCGGCTCCTTCAGGAACCACTGAACTAATAAAACGAGACGTTTCTTTCCAGTGTTCAGAGGGAATTTAGCCCTGAATCTGTTCCAGTGATTCAGCTGACGGTGGTGCTGATGATGGGAGCTGCGGGGTTTCTAAGCTCCTGGGCTGTTTGGACGATCAGGTTCCCTTAGATCCAGCCTGGAGGTCAACCAGAGTAGCGACCTGCAGGAGTCGGGCGCCGCAAGTTGGTCCCAACCAGAGGTTAATGAGGAGTTTAAGTCGTTTGCTCCTAAACTTCTGGTTTGAGCTTTTTTTTTTTGTTGTTCTTATTGAAGATCAAGCAAATGAAGAACAGTTTCCTAAAATGAAAAAAAGCTTGAACTGACGGTAGACTGACTGAAAACATCCCATAAAACATCAGTAATAAATACAGCATGTGTTCCTGTGTAACACTGTCTATCCAAATAATAGCACTGAAAGGAAAAAGATGAACAATTAAAGCTGAATATGTTTGTTTGGTAAAGATGGCGGCTCCCTGCCCCTGCAGTGGGGGGGGGCTCTCCTAGTGAATGGACAGTGTGAAGCACTCAGGATGTCCATGTCCTCTAAACAGAACCCTAACAGGTCAGTTTTACATGCTGCAGGTCAGGGTCAAAGGTCAGTGATTTTCCTGGTCGGCTTTTACCAGCGAATGATAATAATAACTGCTTTCCTTTATCATCCAGGCTTTATTGATGTTTTTCTCTCTCAGTAGCTTTCAGCTGCTCTAAACCTGCTGATCACCACCAATGATCTGCTTCCTCTAAGCAGATGGTTTATGCATCAAACATAGGATTGAAGTCAGACTCCTCCTGAAATAGTTTGCTACCATTTCAGACTGAATCACATCTACATTTTCAGCCTTTCATTAAAATACACAGTTTGTTTGCAAATAGGTTTATTTTTAAATAGGTTAGTCATTAAATAAAGGTTTCAGAAGCGTTTGTAAATTGAAGATCTGTGGGTTTCTAGAGCAGCGGTGCTGACTGACGTCACTGATCGGTTTGCGTTGTGATGAGCAGGAAGGTGTGGTCAGACTGGGCTGTGGGATCCTGGAGGATCCAGGGTCAAAGGTGATGGGTTATCAGTTGATTGGTTCGGTTTCTGATCAGCCCAGCATCAGTGAACAGGAAGCAGTTCTGCTGCTTTGAAAAGGACGTTGCTTTGGCCTTCACCAGCTGAACGTTTATCCATCCAACAGGGCGGGCCTAAGGATCATCAGCACTTTTCTGTTTGAACTACATGAACCATGGTGGGGGGTTAAAGGTCAGCTAAGAGCATCAAAAGCACAGAGAGACCGTGCTGAGAAAGACCGCCCTCCCAGTCCCAGTGGTCATGAAGGGTTAACTCTGATCAAAGCAGTTTTTAAGTCGTGATGTTTCACCGAAATGGATCCGTCTGACTCACAACCTGCTGCGGTCCGACATCAATGGCGAGCTGAAAAGATCCCCCATCAGGCAATCAGTGATGGAGGCAGGTGAAATACGGCTGACCTGACNGTTTCCTCCCCAGGCAGAGCGCCATGGTTTCCTCCCCAGGCAGAGCGCCATGGTTTCCTCTGGGCCTCTTCACCTAGTGGACAGCGGTTTGCTTTCATATCCTCCTGCTGAGCGAAGGTCATCTGCAGGACCAAGTGGGCTGATGGTGATAGTGATTCTAGTGTTTTAGAAGAAGCACAAAAAAATGTATTAGATTGGCTGGAAATTTCTATTATTCTGAGGGTAATGACATAAAGATGGACTGATTTCATCTTCTGATTACAAGAGAAAAATATGTAGATTGTTTAAAATCTTATCTCTTTTTGTTGTGAATAATTAAACATTCATTTGAACTAATTTACTCCTGTCGAGTCGTCATTTTCTTTAATTGAGACGCTTCATTAAAGGAAAAAGGAGAAGCTTTTAGAGGTTAGATAAAAATTAGAGATCGGTATTTTCGAAAGTGCTTCAGGAGAGAAGATCAACTTTTATTTTCCACTTTGACAAAGTCTTAACCCTTTATAGGGCACTCAGTGAAATCCTTTGAAAATCTACATTTCAAACCAATAGTTTTATTAGAATCCGAGACTTAATTACCTTTGTTATATTCTAAAAATATGGATGTTTTGATGGTAAAAATTGTCAATGTGATAGAAACGCCAACTTCCCCTGATATATTAAGAAAAACAACAAAAGTGTTTCTATAAGAAATTCATGAAAAACGCTCAGAGTTAAAGAAACACATTTTTTTGGTCCAACATAACCTTAGAGGCATTAATGCTGATACTGGCACTGACATTTTTTAGTTTATAAACATAAATATAATTGTTAACTAGGCTTATTAACTTTATAACTTTTCAATTAGATTTTTATCTTTTTTTCTTGACTTGATAACTTTTTTTTTCTAACTTAATTTCCAGTAGATAATCTATCATTCAATGGCTCATCTAATTGGTCAAATGCCAAAGATAAGTTGTACAGCCATGTAGCAGCATCTTTGCTGAATGGCTGGATATAGATCTTCCATTTCTAAATCATATGTGCTCAATCAAACATGCAAACAAAGAGCATTTCAGTCAAACATGGGGACCCAAGTCAGATGTACTTGATTCACACAATTTATGACTTTATATTCAGGCATGAGTGAGTTTTGATTTTCCAAGTCGACAGTTTGACACCAATAGTCTAGTCGATGCGTCATGCTGTGTTTACATCAGGAAGGTCTAATCCAGCTTTTACTGCAAAGAGAAAAACATGCAGATAATAAAAAAACATGTTTAATTATTTACTCTGACATGTAATTCATTTTGCTATCAAATATAAAAACAAACAAAAAATAATTGGAAAGACTTGAAATTTGAAGTTTCTGACTTATTTGACTTGAGACTTGACTCAGACTTGAATATAAAGGCTGGAGACTTGGAGGAACAATAGCTTGGTTCCACCTCTGATTTCACTAAATGGCTTAAAAGTCTGGAAATCAATGGATGAAGCTTTTTCATTCTCAAACTGGTTTTCTTAAAAAGAAATAAGATGTAAAGAAGGCCGGTGAACAGCCATGGGTTCTCTGTGGATGGGATGGCTTGGGTCATGCAGGACAGGTAATAACGGCATGAATGAAGATGTTTGAATATGTGAATGTATGTTTATAAGTATGTCAATTCATTCAATTGCTCCATTTATTGTCTTTGAAGCAATATGGACTCAGAAGCTAAATAGAAATCAGATTCCTGATGTTATGAACCAGGGATACCCCTGGGGTGCGCCAGATGTAAAGATGTATTGACGGTCTAATAATTATTTGGGGGTGAATAAAGCCAGTTGGGACCCAGAAGGGGGGTGCAAAGCTAAATCCCAAGCTGTTCTTATTAAATATGATTTCCTGTCAACAAATTTTAATTATTTACTAAAGTTACAGTTTGAATTGAAGTGTTTTCAACATAAATGTTTATTTACACTTCTTGTTTGTTTGAGAAAATTAATCTAACTGTAATTATCAGACTGTCATTGCATTCTGCATCCCTTGCCCCCCCCTAGTGGCAGCTCACGAACCAAGCTTTGGGAATCCCAGATCTAAATAGAAGCAAACATCCATCCATCCATTTTCCATCAT